GAAAATGTATCGTAATGTCCCGAACGTTGCCCAGCCGACTTGAATCCGTTAATTCGACGACCGAGAGTTTGGTCGAAGTTGGACAAACGTAGTCGGACTATTTGTCCCAGGTAAACATACTCGTCAACAACTTCGTGCGTAGTGCTCCCAACAACTTCCGGCACTAAGCATAATAGTGTGTCCCAACTGATAGGCCTTACCGTTACCGCTACCGTTACAGTATATTAAAGTTTACTGCTGAACATAGGCTTGACCCATAGATTGCCTCATTGGGAGTGTATTTGCCACAGTTGTCACGCTTGGAAAGCGGGTTGGCAACCGCAGCTTTTTATTTTCTGTCGTTATTAGGGAGACGCTGCAGCCCAACTCCTGATTTGTTTCTCTCTGTCGCCTGTTATGACACCCACGGGATGATATGGGATAGTTGATATTCTCCGACACTACACGTTAAGATAGGTCTTAATTATAATAAATTATTTAAGAGATTTCATATGTCATAGATTTAGCAAAAAATTGTTTTAGTTTCAAACAAACCTATTTGGAACTCGTCAGCGCCTTATCCTGGCGGACAGTTGATATCAACATCATATTAGTCTGTGGTTGATATCGATAGTATCTCAAGTCACCTAAATGGATAAAAATCTTGGGATTCATATTAACATGGAAGCTTTAGTTACATCGTTTGTAGTAATAACACACAAACGCTTTTGATTTTATCACGCAGAGAAATTACAAGTTAGCCTTTTCTATCGCTCGCTGATTGACACTGAGCTTCCTCAAACGGCCAGCTGTGAAGTACCACGTTTTGGTTCGAAAATTATTGACTGGCAACACCGGTTGCGCGACGTATGCATGTAATGAGGGCATCCACGACTTTTTCTGCCACCAGGGCGGCGCCACTTTAGAGTAAGGTAAAATATTTGACAGATTTCATAGCGGGGATGATAATTTCTTAGGAAAATGTAATCTTTAAGGTTTCTTTATGTATTATTAGTTATATTTTATATTAATTACATTAGAAATGAATAAACCAAACTATAAATATAACTAAAAGACGACTTTTTTTAAAAAAAGAGTTATAATGTGCAAAAAATTAAAAATCAAACCACTGCCGCATTGTGTTGTGTATTAATATAATACTCTAGATAATGATAAACTATTATTTAAAACTAAATTTCTCAATTAACTGACATTGTGTAACAAAAAATTTTACCTCAGTCACAACTAGCGACATCTGGTGAGTGGAAGATTATTAGCCCTCATTACTCTAAGGTTGCACAATGCACATTTGTTTTATAAGGTTTTGAAGTACTCTATCGGACACGAAGTTTTGTCGCAATTTCCCGACCTCTTTCTACGTACATAAGTAGGTGTAATCGACTGGCAGGCCAAAACATTTGCATAAATGGTGGTTTCTATGTACATAGGAATAAAGACTCATTAATAAGATTGTGAAAATTTATTATAAAAACATTCGAATCACAGATCGAAAATTAATTTAACATAAACATCATGAAAAATACTTAGAGCAGATCTCAAAAGTGCCAATACTACCTATAAGGGGTCATCCATGAATTACATCACACCTTAAGGGGGGTTGGTCAACAAAATGTAACATTGTAGGACATTTACTGTTTTAATTTAATTACTTCTGAAATATAAAATTGAAAAATATGTGACGTTACTCTAAGGGGAGGAGGTTTCACAAGTGTGACCTGTGATAAGGATCGAGGTGAGGGGGGGGGGGGGGGGGTAAAAATAATAAAATTTGTGTGAAATTACTTATGAATGTTGTTACAAACAAAAATGAGAAAAGACAAACAAAACAGTTTATATACTCATTATGCATTCTACAGTTACATTGTTCTAATAAATTTAAAGATTTTATAATTAACTATTGATTAATAAACCAATATTATCTACAAATATCTCAAACGTTTTAGTTTGATATTACTATAAAGTCCCTTTTTCTTTAAAACGGTTATCTGACTGTAATGAGTTTCTTGTTATTGGGAAAAGATAGTAAAGATTTGTAAAATAATTTTGTATTATAATTTATCATCAGTAAATTTAAGCATTTATGTAAGTAACGCAGCGTCATTGTTACGTCATTTTATACGTAGTATAGTCATGCTACAGCTATATTAGTACCTAGTATAGTTGTAGTACGAATGGGTCGGCCCGACCGGGGAAGGACCACGCTCTCACACTCTCACTGTTTCGAATGGTGAGTGTAGAGAACCGGAGACGATTTTTATTGGAAAAGAAGCATTCTATCTTAGTCCGCACGGCTGACAATGCGAAGATAGATGTAGATGTCTATGGGCAACAGCAACCACTTACCTTCACGTGGACTGTGTGCTCGTTTGTCACCCTAATACTATGAAAAAATGTCAACAACAATCTACAAATTCAGACACCACAGGTGATCAGACATCATAGAATCTCATATCAAATTAAGACCATGATCTCTACTTATTATGCATAAAAGGAGCAACATTTAAGTTCTCTAAAAATAAGAAATTGATTGTTTTGTGTGAATTACAACCTAATATTAATTGCTACCTAAGTTAGGTAGGTATATCTTTCGCTTTCAATGTGTACTACAGGAAAGAAGCAAAAAAAAAAGGTACAAACTATGATTGTATATTAATTTTTATACAAGTAAGGGTGGTAAACGATCACACAGTCTATTTAATAGTAAGTGGATGCAATGGCCTAAATTTATCTTCGATTTATAATCAAAAATGTAGTGCGTTCTCACTTCTGAGGCCTAAGATGGGATGTCTGTTACCAGTGAAAATTACCATATGAAACATAAGGGCATTATCCTATTTTTTAAGCAGATATTCTGTGAGAGCGTGATCGTTTCGCGATCGAGCTGACCTACATGTTGCAGCCTCGTGCTGTAATAGTCTCTATCCCTTAAAAATACCATCCACACCATCTGGATGATTGGCGGTCCACCACTGTGCGATTTAGAAGATGTTTTCTTCCTCGCACAACTTCCTTGTGGAATAGTTTACCACCAGGGATTTTTCCGGACCGATACGACTTAGGGACCTTCAAGAAAAGAGCCTACTCCTTTTTAAAAGGCCGGCAACGCATCTGCAATTCCCCTGGTGTTGCGGTTGTTCATGGGCGGCGGTAGTCACTTACCATCAGGTGAGCCGCATGCTCGTTTGCCACCTCTCCTATAAAAAAAAAAAATAGCCTTTTAGAGATCGAACGGCCGGAATAGAACTATGTGGCAGTGAAGTACCACGTTTCGGTTCGAGAATTATTGACTGGCAACACCGGTTGCGCGACGTATGCATGTAATTACTTTGCACAATGCACGCTTGTTTTATAAGGTTTTGAAGTACTCTATCGGACACGAAGTTTTGTCGCAATTTCCCGAAACCGGAGACCCTGTTTACCGGAAAAGAGGCATTCAATTTTAGTCCTCACGGGTGACAACGCATCTGCATTTTGATTCGCTAACAAAGATAAATGTAGATGTCTATGGGCCACAGCAACCACTTACCACCAGGTGGACTGTGTGCTCGCTTGTCACCCTATCCTATATAAAAAAAAAATCTTTGGCCCCTCAATTAATTTAAGGAGCTTGACGTCTAATATTGACAGTCATTTCATATATCGAACGCAAATCTTTCCAACTTGTGGGAGACTGTTAAATGAGCTGATGTTCTTGAGAGGGGAGTAAGAATTTGACAATTATGTTGGTAAAAGAATAATACTCATAATAATATGTTTAAAGTTCTATCGTCAGCCATGGAAACGAAGAAACTACGAATGAATGAACCAATTTTTAAAACGTTAATTAAGATATAGCCTGATGTTATATTCTTGAGAATTATTATTTAATCTTAATATTCCTCTCTCTCTTGCTCCGTACTTACGTATCTCTTTTATATTTCTTTCGGGGTCAGAGGTATCCTTCTATAGTCTTCTCGAACCCTAATCCCTCATGTCTTATCAATTTACACTTCATCTTTTTAATTTCCCATTCCTGTTCTCTCTCTTATCGTATGAAAAGCTGGGTCTAAGTACCAAGGTAATCTATACAAATAAATAAAATTAAAGTGTCTGTTTGTAATGTCAAAATAACAGCTTTTTACTAAATACGTATGTAAGTATATATGGTACTTATAACGATTAAACATTTTTTTTTTAATTTTGCCTGTCTGTCTGCTTGTTACGGCTAATCATTGTAGTGACTGGACCGGTTTTAACGGGAGTTTCACTGGCAGATAGCTGATGTTATACGGATTAACTTAACGCATTCACTGTCCAGTTTTCAGACACAATAGTAAGACAATATCAATGACCTATATATAGTGCACGGGACAGCGAAAAGGTTAAGCTACTTTCATTTTAGAAAAATATTTAGGGTTCCGCGCATTAAAATTTCACGCGACGAACTCGCGGGGACAGTTAGTGGAAACCTACTAATAATTCCTACATAATATTTTGAATACAGTCATGTCACTAGACAATAGAGGACTCAATTTTACTTATAAAATCGTCATAAAAACTTTTTTTTAAAAAATCCTTAAAAATACGCAACTAAAGTTTACAAACATGCCTAGTAAAAATAATAATAAAAAAGGTACACAATAGAGTGATTTTATTGTATATTCTTAAGACTAAAACTAAAAATTAATATGATCTAACATTGATTATTATGGAATGGCAGCACTGTGTCTAAAGGTCATTCAAAAATATACTTGCCATAAAAACACACTTGAATTATTTAACAATGCTATTATCTAATTACGATACTACATCCTACCATTACGAAAATCGAAATTCTTTATAAAACAACATTTAAGTATATTACCTACATTTTGTAACTTTACGTTAAAGTGGGTTGAAAAAAATCTAACTAAATCTTATTCAATATTTTTATTGTACGAGATCATAGTAGATTGGACCTTATTTTAAATGGTAAGGTCATATTTAATTCCAATCCACTTTACATTCACATCATAAGAAATTTAACACTTCTCAGTATAAGGCTTTAATGGCTTGAAGTCAGCGTTTCCACTTAAATATGCGTCGACGAAGTTCTGTACCGAGTCTGTGGTTATTTCGTCGCCATATTTCATAGTGACCATCCGTTGTTTGGGAAAATCTATGGCTGTAAGTAACGGTACCGCGTCGTCTAGGCCGATGTGTTCTCTAAGCATGTCGGCACAGTCTGTACCATCGATGCCAATGTAGAACATAACGTGCTTGAACGACTTCTTTTTCACTCTAGAACGAGATGTAGTGTAGGCAAAGTCCATGGTTTCGTCGTCGGAGGAGTTCTGGTACGGGCAGAAACCGGGGTATTGGATGCTGCATTCCTCGTAGTAAGATTCCGCTGAGGGCGTTAGGACCGATTCCGAAAATTCTATTTCTGAATCCTCGTCATCTGTAAAAAAGTTAATGTTAAGTTAAAGTTACAGCCTACTCCCACTGCTGAGCACAGGTCTCCTATCATTTCTGAGAGGGTTTTGGGGCAAGGAAATGTCCGCTGCGCTGTCCCAATGCGTGTTGGCGAACTTCACATGTCTTCGAAATATTTTTTTTTTCTTATCCCTTAGACATTTATATACGTGTTAGAGCCATGCTGCAGCTATATAAGTAGTATAGTTGTAGCGTGAATGGGTCGTCTCGACCGGGGAAGGACCACGCTCTCACAGAATACCAGCGTAAAATGGCAGTTGACATTGCTGTGTTTCGTATGGTGAGTGCAGAGAACCGGAGACTCATTTTACTGGAAAAGAGGCATTCCATTTTAGTCCTCACGGGTAACGACGCATCTGCATTTTGATTCTTTATTGAGGATAAATGTAGATGTCTATGGGTCACAACAACCACTTACCATCAGGTGGACTGTGTGCTCGTCTGTCACCCTATCCTATAAAAAAATGTAGGTTTCCTCACGATGTTTTCCTTCACCGCCGAGCACGTTGAAAATCAGCATTAAAATTGCAATTTACAATTTCATTGGTGCCGCCGGTTATCGAATCCGGGTTGCTGGCGTGCTGTGAAATTTACAGCGCGCGCTTAGACCCTGAGTTACCACGGCTCTTAAAAAAGTTATTCTGGTATTGTTCACAAATGGTGATTTTTATAAGTGGTAGGCCTCCTTCTCTGGCTGGGAGTCCGTCTGGATCAGTTAACCTCTTATTTATTTCTGTTCGCCTAATAACAGTACCTAATAATAGCAGTGCTTGTACTGGTGTGTTCTGGTCGGAATCCAGCATAAAATTACAGGCTGTAAGGTATTTCATCTTAGTCCTCAAACTTGCCAACGTATCTATAGTCTTCTTTGTTTGAAATTGGCTGCAGGTGCCCATGGACTGCAGTAACCACTTACCATCAGGTGAAATGTAAGTTTGTTTGTCACTTTGCTTTAAAAATTATTTCCCCATAATAACTTCTAGAATCTTGTCTGGTCAAAATTCAACCATTTAAGGCGACACAAATGTTGAAGCGGTCTATCGCCGGACTGACCGAGTGAAACATAATTTATAGAAAAACGTCAAAAACGCCGTCATAAGGTCTAAAATTGCGTAGCGCCCGCGACGATTAAAATCGCTAAGAATATTAAAATATTTAAAAAAAAATATTGGTTATAAGTAATCAAAATAATGAGCAAATAAATTACGAATATTGATGTTATGAATGTATTTGAGTGGTTTCCAAGCATAAAGATTAAGTAATTTCGTTGTAATTTCAACTATAGTGATTTTTTAGAGGTGTTTTCGCAAATAATTATGATCGAGTCAAAATTTTACAATCGTCTTTTTGAACATGCAAATTCAAGATAAAGACATGAATTTAAATATATCAAAATTCCAGTTTCGTTAGTCGTGTCATACTTCATACTATTCGATGAAAGGATTGATGGTTAAAACGTTTTTTACCTTTCGAATGATAAAAAAAGTTTAATTTTCTTTCTTACATACTAATATATAAGAAATAATTTTTGTTTGTTCGTATTTTATGCGCTGCCATACCGTTCATTAGATTGCGCGAAGGTTTTAGTTTTAGGCATAGTACAATTAACTTACAGTACGCGTATTGCATCAAGAAATTTGTTTGAATGTTATATATCATTCAACTTCAATTAATGTATTATCATTCCTAACCGAACAAGACGACTCTTCCAAATTTAAATATTTCTACAATTATTTCGTCTACGACAGTAACGCGCTGGGTTCCAGCTAGTAAATATTAATAAAAATTATACCAGTTAAAATGTTCTAAGTGTCATGTTTTATGCGATTTTCAGTGGTGTTCAATTTTTAAATTAATTTAATTTCATTCGCTTTTAATTAAACATACCAATAAATAATACGACGGCGGGGTGACGTGCTATCTTGAGTAACGCCTGCTCCGTCAGTAATGATACCGGACGAGGCGCCCACGGGAAGTTCTGTAAAAAGTCGTAAATATCACAAATGACAAAAAATGAGAAAAATTCAAAGACATTTATATAGTAGTAATAGACCGGACATCAGCAATTTCAAATTCAAAATTCTTACATTAAAAACAATTTGTACTGTTAAAGATATTAGTTGCAAGAAGTTGTAGGTTAAGCCTTTTTTTTTTTTTTGCGGATGGAAAATCATCAAATGACGCCTTTCGCTCTGGGTGGAGCGGAAGGGAGTGTCAGACTTTTACTGACTAAAAACCCTCCGTGTTCCTTCAGTGCCCTTACGTTCCGGAGCCGCGGTATCTCTTTCGAACAGCCCGCAGCCCCGGCAGGCGTCGGCCCTTGCGGGCCCCTTCACGCTGCTGACAGCTCTTTGAGGCGCGCGTGGAACAAAACGCGCCGTCGACACGGCCTGTCGTCGTTAGACGGACGGACGGCGAGCTACCCATTGCTCGCCGTCCACAGGCCCGCGCCTACGGTGGCCGGGGGCCACAACGTAGCCCCCGACGCCCGGGGCGTCTCCCGCGGCGGCCGCGAAGGAAAGCTGCTGCTCTCTCCTTCTCCCGCTCCGCCACTTCCTTCGCTAGCATCACTGCTTCGCAGAAGGTGGTGACGGCATCCCATTCCGTCTCGCTCCGGACCATGGCTTCGACCAGGGCCGGACGCGAGAGGTCGCCGCCGCCTATCGCCGCTACGAGGACACGGCGGTGCTCCGCCCAGGCAGGGCACACCTCCACGGTGTGCTCCACCGTGTCCTCCGGTCGATCCTCGCAGTGGGAGCACCCGGGCAAGCCTGAGTTAGAAAATAAGGTAAAAACTTAAAATAACAATTTTTATTGATGTGGGTAGTGTCTTTAAGTACTACAGCTGATGATACGTGAAAAATCGTGAAACGGCTTTTAAGTTCAGTTTTCCTAAAATATTTTAGAATTGAAGTGTATTTTTGTAATAGAAACGAATTTAAAAACATAGAGGCGCTCTCTTATTGGATTTGACGTTTCTCGATATGTCTTTAACGCCGACCGATCAATCATATGCTATTATTATAGCAGCTAATGGATCGAGTGACGTCATCCAAGATACCACCAAGGTGGCAACCAAAGTGACTGCTGTATGAATTGATTCTTAGTTATTGGATATTAAATATTTTATTTCATGACACTAAAAGGGCGTAAAAATGTAATATGATTTTTTTCGTGTGATGAAAGTCATGATAAACAGATTTATACAATAAAACAATCATGTATATTCGAAACTTAGTAATCTACAACAAAATTATCGATACTTTGATATTGAAACAGTAACATTCCTAAAACGACGTTATATTTATTAGCGTCACCTACTGGGGATAGCTAAAATGTTGTCTTAATAAATGCTTAGCGTTGTTTTGCTATTTTTAGCTAGAGGGTGCCACACGCGTACCAGCTCCAATTTTTTGTATATAATGTAGTGTTATACTACTTACGTATCATTTTACATTATTTTAAATTCATTTTTCCATTCTGTTTCGATTTTCTGCATTCACCTCAAAACTGGATATTTTACATCACCTTTATTTCCATAGGATCCTGTAACGATTTTAAACCATAAGAACACAATAACAAATCATTTCTACTTCGTATTTTCACATTATCAGCACTTTTAAATTGGTGTCAATGGAGTCTACCTTTTTTCGATCTTTTAGCTAGTTTTCCGTAATTCTACAATCTCGAGCTTTGTGTGGGCAGCTGCGCTACCTTTTTTCCTATATCAATAATATCTCATTTTCCACTTAAATCTTATAGTTTTCTTATTATAAACCTAAAACCAAAATTTGACATGTTTTGTCTTTGTTATTTATATTGTTTCCATGGGAATTATATTCAAATTTGCTACCGATCTGTTATTCCTATTTCGATAATTCCACATAAATCCTCTTTTCTCTTGACCATTTACAAAAAATTTGCGTATAATTTAAATAATTTTTCCGTTCTCTCTAGAAAGGTATAAAAGCCGAACAATCGGTGAAGAAAGGCAGTCTCGCTTCAGTTCGTGAATTAGAAGTATCTCCTAAAGGCCTTATCCCGGGGCCGCACTGCCCCGGGATCCTGCAAGCCTCCATCTACACGTGAAGTCTTCGGCGAAGCCTTCTTCAAACGCGGAGCCGCACCACTCCGGATTCCTACAAGCCTCCATCTACCTCGGAAGTCGCTTCGAGTCTACTACAAGCGCGGGGGCCACACTACTCCGGGCACTACTACTACTTACTCCAGGCGCCGAGTGCACCTACCGCCGGCGCTACCTTTGGGCGCTGCAACTGCTGGCTCTAAGCGTTGCGCGCCCCTTCTCCAGGCGCTACGTGCGCCGACTCCGGACGCTGCGTTTACTGGCTCCAGGCGCTGCGCGCCGTCGCTGCTAAGAAACCTACTTCTACAAGCGCAAACGGCGTGTGCTGGCTTCAGGCGCTGCGTGCCGTCGCTGCTAAGAAACCTACTTCTACAAACGCAACGTGTGTCGCTTCGACTTTTAGGCCCCACTTCAACGCTATATTCCCCTATTCTCTCACCTTTATTTTTTTTTATAATCTAATTGTATTCTCACTTCATTCATCATCATCCTCACATCATTTTTTTTATAAAATTGTAAATACCTTTTATAAATTTAAATATATTGTTTTCTGGCTCTACCTTTGTTGTTTTGTTGTACTTAGGTTAGGTTCTATATTTCTATATTTTTTTAATTGTCGCTTCACGACATTTGGCGCCCAACGTAAAAGTCCTCTTTCTCTCTTAATTCTTCACCTTTACTGCGCCTTGTCCATTCCCTTTTGATTTAATTGCTCTCCCTTTCGTTCTTAACCCATTATTCATCATTCATTTATTCATCCTTTTCATACCTTCCAAATTCTAAAACAACACTTCATCTAGTGTTTCAACGTATCTGGTTTATATTTAGACCTACATTTCACACAACACTTACATTCATCACTTTAATATTTTTATTCTAGAACAAAACTTCATCTAGTTTTTCAACTTATCTAGACTATATTTAGACCTACATTCAACACTTCACTTACATTCATCACTCTAATATTTTTATTCTAGGTAACTTAAAGAGGTATAACTTTTCAATTAAATCTTTATTTCTTAAACTTTACACTTTATATAAAATTGTTTTTCAAAGCTGAAGCGAGACGATTCATAACTTTTCTAAGCATTTACAACTGTTAATTTGTATATATTTATAAATATCTAAACATTTATTAACTACTAATTTGTATATATGTATAAATATCACATTTAATTTGTATATATGTATAAATATCACCATCATTTTCACCTTGCTATTATTTCTTTTAATTTGTTTGTTTGTTTGGTAGGTTAATCTTCACTTCTTATTATTTCAGACACATCTCGCTAGTGATGTTGCTGATCTCTGGCTTTGAGCCCTACCGCTCTGGCCGTTCTTAATCTTTACTTAAGTCATAGCGACTAAAGCTTACTTGAGGTATTTCTTTATCTTTATCTTCACTTGGGAGCGGCTGATTACTCCCTTAATAATTTTTTTTTTATCTTCACGCAGGAGCGGATGACAACTCCTTAAATAAGCCTGAATGTCCTTTCGAAAACACACTTTTAAGAGTGGTGTTTCTTCGACTAATTTATTTTTTTTTCCACGCAGGAGCGGATGACTACTCCTTAAATAAGCCTTAATGTCGTTTTGAAAACACACTTTTAGAGTGGTAGTCATTGAATGTGAACTCCACCCTTACCTGAACGGCAGATGATGAATGTAAGAGATAGTATATCTGACTTTGCCTGGTGATGTCTGTTTCTGCAAAGCTGTGTTTTTATGGTTTATTTTAGAATGTATATATCAAAATTTTTGCTGAGTCAAAAATTTTCCAGGGTCGGGGGGAAAATGTAGTGTTATACTACTTACGTATCATTTTACATTATTTTAAATTCATTTTTCCATTCTGTTTCGATTTTCTGCATTCACCTCAAAACTGGATATTTTACATCACCTTTATTTCCATAGGATCCTGTAACGATTTTAAACCATAAGAACACAATAACAAATCATTTCTACTTCGTATTTTCACATTATCAGCACTTTTAAATTGGTGTCAATGGAGTCTACCTTTTTTCGATCTTTTAGCTAGTTTTCCGTAATTCTACAATCTCGAGCTTTGTGTGGGCAGCTGCGCTACCTTTTTTCCTATATCAATAATATCTCATTTTCCACTTAAATCTTATAGTTTTCTTATTATAAACCTAAAACCAAAATTTGACATGTTTTGTCTTTGTTATTTATATTGTTTCCATGGGAATTATATTCAAATTTGCTACCGATCTGTTATTCCTATTTCGATAATTCCACATAAATCCTCTTTTCTCTTGACCATTTACAAAAAATTTGCGTATAATTTAAATAATTTTTCCGTTCTCTCTAGAAAGGTATAAAAGCCGAACAATCGGTGAAGAAAGGCAGTCTCGCTTCAGTTCGTGAATTAGAAGTATCTCCTAAAGGCCTTATCCCGGGGCCGCACTGCCCCGGGATCCTGCAAGCCTCCATCTACACGTGAAGTCTTCGGCGAAGCCTTCTTCAAACGCGGAGCCGCACCACTCCGGATTCCTACAAGCCTCCATCTACCTCGGAAGTCGCTTCGAGTCTACTACAAGCGCGGGGGCCACACTACTCCGGGCACTACTACTACTTACTCCAGGCGCCGAGTGCACCTACCGCCGGCGCTACCTTTGGGCGCTGCAACTGCTGGCTCTAAGCGTTGCGCGCCCCTTCTCCAGGCGCTACGTGCGCCGACTCCGGACGCTACGTTTACTGGCTCCAGGCGCTGCGCGCCGTCGCTGCTAAGAAACCTACTTCTACAAGCGCAAACGGCGTGTGCTGGCTTCAGGCGCTGCGTGCCGTCGCTGCTAAGAAACCTACTTCTACAAACGCAACGTGTGTCGCTTCGACTTTTAGGCCCCACTTCAACGCTATATTCCCCTATTCTCTCACCTTTATTTTTTTTTATAATCTAATTGTATTCTCACTTCATTCATCATCATCCTCACATCATTTTTTTTATAAAATTGTAAATACCTTTTATAAATTTAAATATATTGTTTTCTGGCTCTACCTTTGTTGTTTTGTTGTACTTAGGTTAGGTTCTATATTTCTATATTTTTTTAATTGTCGCTTCACGACAATAAATGTTCCCAATGCCCGCTCTATAGTATACCTATATATTTAAATCTCTTTGTTTTTACATAGTATTTAACAAAACAATGTCAACTGTACTATTATAGCTGCTTGTCATTGAAGTAGTCGTGGATACAGTAATAACATTTCTGTAGCAGCAGTTTTTTAAATGGTTCTTAAAATTGGTATATTTTATTTTAATGTTGATGCAAAGGGCAGCTCATGGAACAATTTAACCGACTGGTGTAGCACACTGTGCTTTGCCACATATATATATATACTACTTAAATATCTTTGGGTCTTTCAGGCGTTTAATATTCATAGATTACAAACATCGAAATTTGAAAAAATTATATGTGTGTATACAAATAAATAATTTAAAAATTAGTAACTTCAGATCAACATACCAGTCCTAGTGGGTCGGCTGCTAAATGCTGTCTGCCATTAGCAGTGAACACTTTGCCATTCGGATCGGTGAGGACCAGCGCTGGGATGCCAGCGACTCCAAGAGCTGTGGGCAAGGCCATACGAGCTTCTGTAGCCGCCCATGGGACAGCAAGTGCTCCAGCGGCACTAACTGATGATACGGTGCGCTTGTAGGATTGTTCGCTCCTGAAAGATATATAAATTAGTCAGAAAACTTCATTAGGTTAGTTGGCGTGTGGTCTTGGCATGACGGAAAACATTATAACAACCCATTTTATCCTGTGGGCGTCGTATGGATCGGGAAATATTTCCTACAAGTACACATGACTTCTGGTAAAAGAAAAACTATAGTTATTTACTACCTTTTCTTCTGCATCATTAACTCGTAGGACATAGCCCTCTTCGGTTATATTGTAATAGCGATCTCAGTACCAGAAGTCTCGTAACCTTATTTCAAATTAGGAACATCCAGAAGACAAAATTAACGAACATAAAAAATTGAAGAAAATTATTCAGACCTGTCGTCAGATTATTGTATAAATATTCTATATTCCTCGATACAGACAGAGCCTCCTTCTTATGTTTCTTGAACAAAAAAAATTGTTCGTGTAATTGTGTACCATTTTTGTTTCATTGTGTACATAAGTAGGTAATAGGTTAAGTAACAAAATACTCATGCAGCCCCGGCGGTGAAACGTTACAAGAAAACGTGACTTTTTTAAAAAATACCGTACTAAATTTCTCCACAACATCGATAAAGAAGGTTCACATCAATTAAAATCAGTCCGGTTTTGAAGGAGGAAACGGGGGTATAGGGGTGACCAGTTCGTCAATTTTCATAGGTATAATTATTCCACACTGCAGGGTTAGCATGGGCAGCAGACAGACAGACATTTTTAACAGTGGTAGAGCCACGCGGCGGCTTTTGCTGTCGCACGGATGGGCCGGCTCGAACCGGGGTAGTACCACGACCTCACAGAATACCAACGTGAAGTAGAGGTTTACCTCTGCGTTTCGCTTGGTGAGTGCAGGTGGCCGGAGGCCCTTTTTACTGGAAATGAGGCATTCCATCTTAGTCCTCACGGGTGACAACGCATCTGCATTTTGATTCGCAAACGAGGATAGATGTAGATGTCTATGGGCCGCAGCAACCACTTACCATCAGGTGGACTGTGTGCTCGTTTGTCACCCTTATCTTATAAAAAAAAAATAAAAAAAAAGATAATTTTATCCCCGGGGAAAGGAGAAAATGTTTATCCCCTCGCTTAGTTTTATCCACTTTTCGAGCATGGGCATACCGGTGGATATAATATCCACAGTAGATAAAATGGCAGATAGACTTAGACTTAGATAGATTTTTTGTATGAATAAAACTTAAACACACGTCCAATGAACAAGGATAAAACTGTCCCTTTCAAATGTCAAGGAAGCACAATTTTTTCTATTCGATTTGACTCTATGCTGCGGAAGGGGGATGCAGTTGTCTTTTTTGGTTGCCTAGCTAGGTCGTTCGGGCACAGAGCAAAAGCAATAAATCCTTAAAAACAATTCTTAATATTTCATGCCTAGATATTCGCCTTTCCTACAACGGGGGAGTTCTATGTCCAGTAGTGGACTTTTACCAATCGATAAAAAAAAAGAAAGAAATATATTTTAATTAATTTTAGACACGCGAGTTTCTCCTCTATATTTTCCTTCCCCGGCAAGCACTCCGGTAAATCAGTAAGTCGTCCGGTAAAAGGTGGGAATCGTATTCGAGTAACTAAGAAAATTACGTTAAGTGCTTCGCCCCTAAGAAAACTATTTTACTTCTGTTCCATTCAACAAAATGAAACGTTTGCATTTTCTTTTTCCTCAATAATAATTACGCGTCTCAGAAACACTCCAACCGTAACTTGGTATTATGTAGCTCATTATGTCGTCCACTACACCCTGGAATCCGCTCCCTTAAGTTCAAATTGCTAATGTGGGACGATAAGGTAATAAAGTTGGGATTTTACGACTCAACTTTTACTTTAATATCTTTTGCTTGTGTCAGAACTGTGCGCGAAATCGTTTCGGTGTAAAGCTGATATTACTTAGGCCTTATTGCCGTGAATAAGAAACTTACAGAAGAAATTAGAATAAAATAGTTTTATTCAGTATTGATTATTACATTACATTATTTCATAATACATAAGGGAATTGAACTATTTATTTACTACTGGTCAAAGCAAGAAACCCAGTGAGAATATCATTTAAAATAATATCATATAAATAATTATATCAATTATAATAGAACCTTCATGGTAGCAATCACCCTAATATTATAAAAGTCTTTTTTGAACAGTTTGTTTTTATGAATTTTTTTAAGTTATTGATTGAAAAAATATTGAAGATTTTCTGGAATTTTGTTATAAACGCGTATACAGAGTACCGTGGAGCTTAGGGGTTAAGCGCACGCTGTAAATTACAAAATTACACTACGCGAGCGACCTGGGTTCGATCCCCGCCGGCATCAATGAAATTGTTAATTGCAAGTGCTGATTTATCACGTGTTCGGCGGTGAAGGAAAACATCGTGAGAAAAGTGGAGAAAATAATATTTCGAAGACATGTGAAGTTCGGCAACACTCATTCGGGCAACGCGGCGGACATTTTCAGGCCCTAAAACCCTTTCAGAAATTAGGGGAGGCCTGTGCACAGCAGTGGGACGTATTTAGACTGTAACTTTAGGTTTTCAGGAATTACTAACTCTGTAACTGGTATAATCAGTTTGTTTGTTCCCAGTATGATATCTTTGTTCTTATCAAAGTTATTTTTTTTTATGTAAGTACATACATTACGTTTTCATCAATGAATTGTGAGGCTGAGGTGTATATGTTTATTACTTTCAACTTATCTCTAAGGGCCTCTATACATTTTAACATATAAATTAATGTTCTTACGACTCTCTATTTCAAAACAAGTATAGTTTCAAAGTCGTTCACGTTTCCCCATGGTGAAATTCCCTATGACATTAATGCGATGTAATGAAAATAACTAAAGTACAATAAATGTTTATTACAGCATATTCTACAGAACTAAGTTTGCTTGCTAAATTAGATATATGGCGGCCAAGAAAATAGAGCTTTAAAATACCTTGACATTGGTGTACTGTGAATTGTTGCCATCCAAAGCCGCTAGAGCCAAAAATTCCGCCACTTACCCCCACCCCTCCCCACACAATTTCAAAGAATCTTAGAATCTAGGAATAAGCGTAAGAACGACAATCGAGTATACAGTCCACATGATAAGGAATTGCCATGGCTTTTATGCGCTAACTTCTATCCTCGATTAAGAATAAAAATGCAGAATGAACCCCGAGTTTACTAGGCATAGCTGCATTTTCACCCCGGCGTAAGTTAGAATGTATTTCTGTTACCAGCCGTGGTAGCTTAGGGGCTAAATGCTCGCTGTAAATTTCGCAATATGCGAGAAATCCAGATTCGATCCCCACCGGCACCAATTAAATTTTTAATTGTAATTTTAAGTGCAGATTTACCACGTGCTTGGCGGTGAATCAATCGTGAAGAAACATGCATGTCTGAGAAATGAGAAAAAAATACTTCGAAGACACGTGCAGTTCACCAACACGCATTGAGACAGCGCGGCGCCCTCTCAGAAATGAGAGGAGGCCTGTGCCGAGCTGTGGGACGTATATAGGCGTATTTTAAACTTTACCAGTAAAAAGGGTCTCCGGTTCCCTACACTCATTATACGAAACACAGCAGCATTACGCTGGTATTTACGCTGGTATTTAGTAAGAGCGTGGTCCTTCCCCGGTCGAGCCGACCATTCGTGTTGCAGCCGTAATACGGCTGTATTTAGTTAGTAACATAGATCTATTACGTAGAAAATAGATAAATTGCTGGCATAAAAGTCAAAGTGTTTTAACCTTTACGATATATTCTGTTGATAACGACGAACGTAAAATCCTAAGAGAGATCGAAACTTTCTAAAGCCGCGACAATTGCTAAGGGCCTTTGTGCCGAACTTCGCTATTCCTCAATCTATACAAATAAATAAAATTGAAGTGTCCGTTTGTAATGTTAAAATTACGGCTTTTTACTAAATGGATATGAAAGTATATACGATACTTATAACAAAAACACAATTTTAAAAAAAAATCTGTCTGTCGGTCTGTCTGACTGTTTGTTCTGGCTAATCTCAGAAATGGCTGGACCGATTTTGACGGAACTTTCACTGGCAGATAGCTGATGTCATAAGGAGTAACTTAGGTTACTTTTATTTTAAAAAAGAATTAGGGTTCCGCGCAAAAAAACTAAAACCCCAATTAACACGCGGGCGAAGTCGCGTGGAACAGCTAGTCAATCTATAAGTATTGCTGTTGTTTGTCGCAAAAATGCGGATACGTGTCGACAGTTTAGTACAATACTTTAGAAAAGTAAAGTCAAATAACAAAAATACGTAAAACCGAAGTTCAAATTTCTTAAATACTATTGTATCATTGGTATTCCAAATATGTTCGGTAATGTTCGTTAGCTTAGTTATCATTCATTTCAGCCTATCAAAAGTCTACTGCACAACATAGGTCTTCCCTAAATTATTGACTCAATGATATATGCTTTGACGGCTCCGTGGCGCAGTGGCTTAGCAATGACTTGCTGCGCTGGGGGCCGCGGGTTTGAATCCCGCACGGAGCAAGTATTTGTATGACCTACAAATAATTGTTCCGGGTCTGGATGTTTGCCCTTGTGCAATTTGTGTTTGTAAACTGCCTCCACGATACAGGAGAAAATCCTAGTTTTAGTAACGTTTTTTAAAAAAAAAATATGCCAAAGTTGCCACGCTCGACGTATGAACGCCTATGGTAGTTAAAATAAAAATTAATCCAGTACATGTTATGTTAAACAGCATTAGTATACGATGTAAAATTTTCTAGAAATAATAAATTGGTAACCAAAAGTTAAGAATCTATATAATTTTTGTAATTAATACACTTTATCGTTTATATTAATATCTATACAAATAAATAAAATTGAAGTGTCTGTTTGTAATGTCAAAATAACAGCTTTTTACTAAATGCATATGCAAGTATATACGGTATACTTATAACAAAAACACAATTTAAAAAAAATCTGTCTGTCTTTCTGTCTGTCTGTCTGTTTGTTCCGGCTAATCTCCGAAACGCAGATAGCTGATGTT